GCTTCTTGCTTGCTTCTTCTTTTTTTTTTAACTTAATTAATTTGATTAATAAACTGACGTCTGTGGTGTAATGGTTACGCTCTCCACCTTTGCATGTAAAGACTCGAGTTCAAAATAATCCCACTGGGTGGGAGAGAATATTTTATCAAGTATCTGGGCCTTTTCGCTAGTATATTGTGTCCGACTCTGTCCGAAGTTGAAAGCTGCCTGCTTCAAAAATGATATAATGTATGAAGACGAAAGCGAATAACATAATTATGATCATTTCAATTATTGGTTAAAGAAGTCTGCTTGATTAGAGAACATCAAAAAGAGAAGCAAGATATGTGTTAGTTTGTCAAGACTGTATGCTGCTATTTGTGTTTTTGTCTCGAGTTTGTAATCTTGTTTTTTGTATTTTTTTGTCAAGTTTGTATTTTTGTTATTTGTATTTTTGTCAAGACTATATGTATTCTTGTCACGTGTGTACTTTATGCTGTTATTTGTATATTTGTCCAGTTTGTATGTTGTTTGTATTTTTTGTCAAGTTTGTATTTTTGTCAAGACTATTATATGTATTCTTGTCACGTCTGTATGCTGTTATTTGTATGTTTGTCCAGTTTATATGTCGTTTGTATTTTTGTCAAGCTTGTATGTTCTTATATTTGTATTTTTGTCAAAACTGTATGTTCTTATTTATATTATTATCAATAATGTATGTTATTTGTATTTTTGTCAAGGCAAAATGCCATTTTTTATATTTTTATACACTTGTCCTGACCATTTTGTTACTTTTCTGTAAAAATTAGCTGTATGAAGTTTGTAGCCACATTTTCATGTGGGTGGTTGGCGGGTGCTCTGGTGTGGTATGCTCCTTCTCTGCTATCTAACATCTATCGTCTTTATCTCTCCTCCTTCTTTTTTTTGTGTGTTTGTTACTCTCTTGTAACACCTCTAATCTTCGGCACTTATATGACCTTATTGTGTTACAAGTGCCGTAAAACTCTTATGCGAAAACTCCCAATTCTCATGCGCCCCATGTTTTTTCTCTCTTTGTTCATTGCTCACCAAAGGATAAGAAAAGGTACAGTATGTGTCGGTGATCGCGCCCCCCTGTCTGTGGCCTTGACCCTGATTGGCTGTCCTTGACCCTGATTGGCTCCATGACACCTCTGACCCTCTCCTCACATTTGTTTGTTTGTTTGTGTGTTTACTTATCTTTGTCCGTCTATTTATTTGTCTGCCCGTCTGACTGTCTCTCCATCTGACTCTCCGTCTGTCAATCTCTCTCTCTCTTGTTTACGTGATCTTTGTATCTCTCTTGTTTCTCTCTCTTTGTCTCTCTAGCTGTCTCTGTCTTGTTCACATGATCTCTCTCTCACTCTCAGTCTCTCCCTCTATCTATCTACCTACCTATCTATCTATCTATCTATCTATCTATCTATCTATCTATCTATCTATCTATCTATCTATCTATCTATCTCCCTGTCTTTCTTTGTCTCTGTCCATCTGTCTCTCTCCCTCTCTCTCTCTCTCTCTCTCTCTCTCTCTCTCCTCTCTCTCTCTCTCTCTCTCTCTCTCTCTCTCTCTCTCGTTGTCTTTCTCCATCTCTCTGTCTCTCTGTCTCTCTGTCTGTCTCTCTCTCTGTCTCTCTCTCTCTCTCTCTCGTTCTCTTTCTCCATCTCCCTCTCTCTCTGTCTCTCTCTCTCACCCTCCCCTCCCCCCACTCTCTCTCTCTATCTGTATCTGTAAACTGCCTGCAATATCTGACATACCACTAGATTTGGCTTACTATGTCCATTTCTTTAAAAACATTTTTTTTAAAATTTTATTTCGGAGTTTATTGTGGCGCTATTTCTAGTTTTTAGATTTTTTTTTGATTTTTTTTAAAATAATGTTTTTCGATGTGGCCTTGAGGAAAATGACATCACTAACAAAATCTACAGAGTAGCAGACGCCAGTGATTTCCATGGGGAAAAATTAATAAAAAGCATTTTTTCTGACCACCCCACTAAACCGCACGTACAGTCAAACCAAACCTGCCTTATCCGTCACCTCTATATAACGGCCGTCTGTAGGCTACTAACGGCGCGACTGTTCTATGGCACCCTTGCGGTTTTTGGTTGTTGTTTTTTTTTTTTTAATCCGCCTATAGTGGTCTCTGTGTAATGAGGTTTCGATCATTTTTTCAACAAAGTTCAGTTACCTTCTCTACAAGGGTCAATTACTTTCTCAACAAAAGTCCATTATTTTCTCAACAAAGGTCCGTTATTTTCTCAACAAGGATCAGTTATTATCTCTACAAAGGTCGGTTACTTACACTAAAAGTTTGTCTTTTTCTCAACAAGAGTCAGTCATTTTTTTAACAAAGGTGTGTCATTTTCTCAACAAAGATCAGTCATTTTTCAATAAAGATCAGTCATTTTATCAACAAGGATCAGTCATTTTCTCAGCAAAGGTCGGTTACTTATTCAAAAGGTTAGTCTTTTTCTCAACAAGGGTTGGACATTTTCTCAACTATGGTCAATTACTTTCTCAACAAAGATCAGTCATTTTCTCAACAAAGATCAGTCATTTTCTCAACAAAGATCAGTCATTTTCTCAACAAGGGTCAGTTATTTTCTGTACAAGGGTCAGTTATTTTCTCTTTAATGGTCGGTCATTTCTCAACAAGTCAGCCTCAAAGCTTGCTCATGGAAGTCACTCATACTGTGTTTGAAGCTCCTATATTAGATAACAATAAATCAGAGAAACAGAATGAAAAGATTTAAAAATTGAAGATTTCAAATTTTAAACTATCTGTTGGCGTTGTGCAGTCTAGTAAGTGACTATAGCTCATACTCAGTCCATAACAGTCATCTGTCTATCACAGTCACTGTTGTCGGTGACCTGGAATACATATTGAGGACAATTTGATCTCTTATGTAGTACCCTCTCTGTTTTGTTTCAGTATTTTTTTCAAAAACAAGTACTCCCGTCTAATTCCGGTACCCCAATTTACTCACTGGCACTCAGAAAGCTTCGTTATGTCGATAGAACACTAAAAATAGAACTCTTGATTTGACTTTTGATGTATGAATAGACATAGTGGGAACTAATATAATAATGTCATTTTCTTTCCTGAGTTGTTTCTGTCTGTTTTACACTCTCCCTCTCCCCTCTCTCTCTCTCTCTCTCTCTCCCGCTCTCTCTCTCCCTCTCTCTCTCTCCCCTCT